TCTCCTTTACTCCGGGTGGTTGGGACCAATTGATGCATCTTAGATGGCCGCTTGCAAGCTTTTAAGACCCCAGACGCCACTCACCAAAGTAGGATGCAAAACATTTTCTTAATAAGCTTTGTTATGCCAGTTGACACAGATGTCCCCTGAAAGCATGGTCCCCAGACCCCAACCCCTGCTACTCTGTCTCTCAAAGTATTTGGTTGTAGTCAGGAAACTTCTTAGCTTTGGTTTAGTCCAGTTGTGCTGTCCTTCCCTTTGCCTAAGATGATTCTTACCTACTATCTAGTTGTAAATAGCCCTCACCCTCCCTCCCCACCCTCGTAAGGATCAAAGAATATTTTCTTCTGTGTTTAAACCTTTTCTTGAGTTCTTATAATAGTGGTCTTATACAGTATTTGTCCTTCCGTGACTGACTAAATTCACTCAGCATAATAAGTTCCAGCTTCCTCCGTGTTATACGATGTTTCACGGCTTCATCGTTGTTCTTTATCGTTGCATAGGATTCCGTTGTGTGGATATACCACAGTTTGTCTATCCATTCATCTGTTGATGGGCACCTAGGTTGTTTCCATCTTTTTGCTATTGTGAACAGTGCTGCAGTGAACATGGGTGTGCATATATATCTATTCATGTGACGGCTCTTATTTCTCTCGGATATATTCCAAGGAGCGGGATAGCTGGATTGTATGGTACTTCTATTTCTAGCCTTTTAAGTAAGCGCCAAATTGATGTCCCAAGGGGTTATACCATTTTACATTCTCACCAACAGTGTATAAGTGTTCCAGTCTCTCCACAACCTCTCCAGCATTTATTATTTTGTGTTTTTTGGATTAAGGCTAGCCTAGTTGGGGTGAGATGATATCTCATTTTAGTTTTGATCTGCATTTTTCTAATGGCTACTGATAGTGAGCATTTCTTCATGTTAGACTACAAATTATTTAAGTGAAGATTCAAAACATTAGTTAGATTTAGCTGCATACATGGTTGAGCAGGGCTGATAGCATGTGGAATGGATGGGGGTGGAAAGAGTATTTCAATTGGGAAAAATACGTGTGTAAATAAATCCCTGATGGAGCAGAGAACCCAGTATCATCCCTTCCTTGATGAAACTCAGAGGTAATTGAAGCAAACAGTGTGGGTTCAGGGACGGGGGTGGGGGTGGGGGGATGAGCCAGATTGAAGAGGGCAATGGCAGCAGGTCGTTGAGAACTGTGCTGACTACTCTGGACTTTTTGAAGGCCAATGGACAGCCACTGACTGGCATTCAGCAGAGATAGGTGAGAGTGTATTTGTGATTTAAAACAGAACACTCCAGTTCCTGTCCTGCAAATAAGTTTCGGAAATGTCAACCATGAATGAATAACATCAGGTAGGAGCTTGTTATGAACAAGTTAAGCAAGAAGGTGAGGAGTCCTAGACGTGGGGATTGGCTGTGGATCAGGAAGGGAGTGGATAATATAATGTAGATGTAGATGGCTTAAAGGGTAGCAGTTGATAGAATGCTCATTCCTTGAGTTACAGGCTGTAGAGCAGTGAATCCTTCTTAAACTTGATATGAATAACCTGGTGATTTGTTAAAATGTGGATTTTGATCGAACAGGTCTGGGATGGGCTTGAGATTCTACATACTAAACAAGCTGTAAATAGTATAGAAATTAGGATGGGAACTAAAATTAGAGAGTGCTGTTAGAGAAATTAATAAAAGGAAGGATAATGCTTAAAGGGGTGACTCTGGTGTAAAGACTGCGTGTGAGAGAGAGAACATTTGTATTGAGACCAAGAAATAAAAAAGTAGGAGTCGACTGGGTGAGGAGGTGGGGTGGAAACAAACGGAAAGGACAGGCACTGCTCTTTAGAGAACACTTAATGATTTCCTGACTTACTGGTTGATCGATTATTATAAGGTTGAAAGAGAAAGTGTTCAGGAATCTTCCCGTATTTCTGGAAAGCTTGTGGACTGCTGGTGACATGTCCTGAGAGCAAAGGAAAAACAAACAAAAACCCAGGAGGAAGAAAGAAATGTTAATTGCAAAATTAACAGGAAAAATACTGATCACATATTACAGTGCTGTACATTAAATGAAAATTTAAAAAATAAATCACAGAAGTTTTACGTGCACATAATTAAAAATTAATAAAGCATGATGAGTTCATTAACAAACTTCAAAAATATATTTTCCCTGAAAGTTCACCCAAGTTTATGTCAAATAAAAGTGTGTGTGCTGATCTACAAGGTGTGAAGTTCTGTAGGCAAACTATCAACCTCAACTTTGGACCCCTGACTCCCTGGAAGAAATCACATTGAAGTTTTCCACCCTGTCCAGGCCTGTGTGCTTCTTGTGTTGTGGAATGAGTAAGTTCCTCCATCTGTGACCTTGTTGCCAGAAGGAAGAGGTCTGTGTAGCTGCATGAAGAATGCAAGTATGTGCTCTGGAAGGCTGGAGCCTGGTCTGCCTTAAATTCAGATGCCCTCAGGGTAGAGCATTATCATGCACCTGGTAAGAAGCCCTGCCCAGGGAGAGAGCTGAAGGCCAAGAACTCCTCACTCCCGCTTTGCTCAACACTGTCTCCTTCCCATTCTTCTTTATTTCAGGTCCCAACTGTGGCACAGGGAGAACTAGTCCAGTCTAGGCAGCTGCGGACCTAGGGCAACCATCTTGCACACATTTGTAAATCACAAGGATTTCAGCTACTCTGACTGGTGTGTGGATCAAACTTTATCTGCCTCTAGGCTACCCAGTGGTCCTGCTTCCCCTTCCATCCCTTTTTTTTTTCTTTTTTTAATTTTTTTTATTGTACTTTAGATGCAGGTTTACAGAACAAATAGTTTCTCATTCAAGAGTCAGTACACATATTGTTTTATGACATTGGTTAACAACCCCATGACATGTCAATACTCCCTTCTCGACCTTGAGGACATTTTTTTTGGTGAAAATATACATAGCCAAAGTTACACCATTTTGAAAGTTTCTACATGAACAATTCAGTGACATCAATTACCCTCTTCCAGTTGTGCTGCCATTCTCACTGTCCTTTTCCAAATTATTCTATCACCATTGTTTTCAACTCACTGTCCCCTAGGCTTCCCATCAAACCCTTTGAGTTGCTGTTGTCAATTTGATCTCACAGATAATTCTTTTTTTTGTACCTTAGATGAAGGTTTGCAGAACAAATAGTTTCTCATTAAACAGTACACGTATTGCTCTATGATAATGGTTAACAACCCCATGACATGTCAACACTGTCCCTTTTCAACCTTGGGTTCCCTATCACCAGCTTTTCTGTCCCCTCCTGTCTTCTAGTCCTCGTCCCTGGACTGCTGTGCCTCACTAGTCCTATTTTGTTTTATGAGGCTGTCCAATCCCTGGCTGAACGGTGAACTTTGGGAGGGGCTTCACCACTGAGCTAAAAG